AACCCTTTAAATGGGTCTTCTGCATTGATACGACATTCAATCGAGTGTCCTCTAAGCACAATTTCCTCCTGTAAAGAAAATTATTCCAAATGGAAGAGCTTTTCAAACACCCCCTTCCTCTATTTGGATCAAAACCAAGAACACTGATAGACACCAGCCATACCTGTTTATAACGCAGTTTCTCTCCCATTGCAACACGAATCTGTTCTTCAATCAAATCAACGGAGTAAATCATCTCCGTCACAGGATGCTCCACCTATTATGTTCATCCCCCGAAAACGGTAGACACTCATTATGCTTCAGATAATTCTAGATCAAAAGAAAGAATCTATAGCTAAATTATAAATTTAGACTCTGCAGGCATAATAACTTAGTCCAACCTGGATTCTAGTGTTCATTTCCATGAAATAGAAGGAACCTCTCTCATCCAATAGAAATTCCACGGTACCAACACCAATGTAACCAATCGACGCTGCTGCTGCAACCGCTGCATCACCCATGGCTTTTCGCAACTCGGGGGTCAGTGCAGGAGAAGGCGCTTCTTCCAGTAACTTTTGGTTACGTCTCTGTGGTCAAGAGAAAATTTAGTTAGACGAGCCCAAAAATCACCAGCATTTTAAAGTGCAATGACGGATAAATTCAAAATTCTGAGAACATAGGTGCAATTATTTGCATCTTAGCAACTATTACAGAGAACACTAGTGTAGTAGATCGATCGGCAGCTGAAAGCATATAGGTGTGCTACTTAAGAAGATCAATAGTAAGAAACAGTCTAAATATTAAAACGGTCAGTTTTTCTTAGACCAACAAGCATAAGATAAAAAATTGATACCTGGATGCTGCAGTCACGCTCGCCAAAGTGAACAACATTACCAAATTTATCTGCAAGAATCTAAAATCCAACAGCTGTAGATGAGAACAGTTGATAGCACACTAAAGATTTAAGAATATCTTTGCTTAGAAGTGGAAGTCTAGGTAAAGACAGTATAGATCAATTCGTTCATCTTTTTATTATCAGGATCAAGTGCCATCTTCTGAAAACGATCATCTTTTTATTATCCTCTAATAATTTGAACCACTGTATACCTGGAACTCAATATGTCGGGGATTTTGCACGTACTTCTCCAGATAAACTCCATCATTTCCAAAAGCAGCAGCGGCCTCACTCTTTGCTTGCTGTAGAACAACGAATTGAGTCAAATTCAGGGTTGTTAAAAATCTTACAGATCTTTATTGAATAGAGTTGTTCAAGTATATAGTTAAAATTATTAGACTTGTGATTTACTACAATATCTTCATACATATGACACTCTAGGTTGTCTAAGGGTCAAGTTTCTATGATACATTGCTATCAAATATCTGAATATGTAGAACTGTTCTCTAGAGCAACCCTTCTGATATTCAAATGCCGACCATTTTCGGATCTATTTGCCTCGATTTTCATACCTGCAGCAGTTTCACAAACTCTGACGGTTCATTAGCAAGCCGCATTCCACGACCACCACCACCAGCTGTTGCCTTCAAACCAGAAAGACACCAGTTGTGAGATTCAATACTCAGTGACACATTCTAAATAGTACAGAGATAGCTTTTGAAAAGAAAGAAAAAGATAATGCCTATTTAAGCGAATCCTAAGTGAGAATCAAGATAATCAGCAACATTAAAATAAAATAGTGCAAAACACCTGAGTTGCTGCTTCAGGGTACCATAGAAACAAGATAATTTACCTTGATCATTACAGGGAACCCAATCTCATTGGCGAGCCTGACTCCTTCTTCAGTGCTCTGTAATAATTAAATTTCCAAGGGACATATTGATATGACTCAACTTGAAATGCAGAACTGATGATGGTCCAGCATAATACCTGCAATAGTCCATCACTCCCTGGTACAGTTGGGACACCTGCATTTTTCATTGTCTCTCTGGCAGTTGATTTGTCACCCATGACACGGATGCTATCAGGCTGCAGGAAGAAGAATGCAGATTGATCCAGTCAGAGAGCATTTTCTTTTCTATTGTTCCAAAACTTAGTAAAGAAATTGAATTTGAGTCAGAAAATATGCTTTCTCAAGAACCCATCTTCAAAAGACTTACATTTGGTCCAATAAAATTGATCCTGTGGTCTCTGCACATCTCCACAAAAAGAGCGTTCTCTGCAAGGAATCCATATCCAGGATGAAGCATTGTGCATCCTCGGCTGATTGCAGCTGACAGAACATTAGGTATCAACAAATACCTGCAGACAATTCAGAATCAAAAGCTGATTCTTCTTTTTCAAAATAGCACTAAGAAACAGAAACAAGATTGGTATTAGAAGAAAAACGAGAGAAACTCACGACTGGTTGCTTGGAGCTTCACCGATACAAACGGCTTCATCAGCCAGTTTCACATGGAGCGCGTCCTTGTCTATAGTTGAGTACACAGCAACACAAGGAATCCCCATTTCGTGAGCAGTCCGGATAACACGGACAGCGATTTCACCTCTGTTAGCCACAAGAATCTTATCCCCGCTGCACCTAGCAGCAAGCGCGCCGCCGCCGCCGCGACCAGTCCTCTTCACGTTCCGGCTAACCTTCAAAGTCTGAGTCTTTTGCAACGGGAAGCTTACCGTCTTTCCCATCATCACATTACAGTGGGGACTTGTAACACCTCCCGACCTCCCCAGGAATAAAGACTTGCATACGATTTCGAAAGAAATAGTCAGAGAATCGAAAAACGTATCACAGAATAGATTCAGAAACAAGAATGCATTGCTGCAGCTAATACACCAGTAGATTCAGAAACAACAATCGATACACAGGATCAGCTAGTGAAATGGGACTATTAGACAAAATCTCAAGTTCAAAAATCAGCAGCTAAACACCGAAGAGATTCAAAACCAATCGATAAGCGAAATCTAATCGGCAGAAGCAAATGTTCTCAGAGGATAATCAAAAGCAAAATCGCGCAAAGGTTCTCAGATTGTTTTTTGTTGCTTACGGGAAGGGAGGCAAGGGATTTGCAATTAGTAATCATGGAGGCGTCCATCGCTGGATGTCGAATCTCACAAGCAGTGCGAAGCGAAAGAGAAGAAGGAGAAATGTTTCGATGTTAACGAGGGAAATTGAGTGAGTGAGCGAATCGTCGGTGTCGTAGGCTTGAAATGGTTAGGGATTGGGACCCATCCCTCTACCAAATATTTTTTTTATTCGATAAATTAAATAATTCACTCGTTCTGGTCCGTGGGTCGGTTCGGATCGGATCGTTCCGGATTCGGATTTCTCAGATCCAGCTTATCGGGTTATAAAGTTTTTCGGTTTTGTTCAATTCAGTTTCCTGATTTAGAATCAGAACCATCATAGAACCAAAGATAATCTGAATTACTCGAAAATCCAAATAATTATTCTAGAAAATTCTAGAAATACTAGAATTTAACATTATTTCATATGATTTATAAAAAAAATTTCTAATTTTTTTAGAATTTCGTAAGTTGTGGAAGGGTTTCATGAATTATGGAAAAACTTTCTGGAAGAGCTTTCTAAATTTGAGTTGTATAAATTAACAAAAAATCAATTTTATGATTTACAAAGACATTCTTAATTATATGTAATAGCTTCTTTAATTTATATATTTTAGAAAATTCTTTCTAAAAGTTTAGAATATCTTTCTAAATTTACTTTTATCTTCTTCTTCGTCTCTGCGACATTCAAACTCTAATTTTTGCTGATTTTCTTGTTTTTTACCATTATTGTTGTTTTAGCTTGGGTTTCTTGAGTTTTTCACACAATTATATCATATTTATCTTCCATTATATGATTTTGAACTTTAAATCCCAAAATCACTTTCCCATCAAAAAAACCTCAAAGATCTAAAAAATTCACAATCACAAATCAAAATCAAATGATTCAATTTCAGATCAGTCTTGTCCATTAATAATTTTGTTTATACACTATTTTTTTTTCTTTTATTAACTAATGTTTTGTATAACTAAGGTTAATATGGTCAGTCTTTAGTAAAAAATATTATGGAAATAATTTTTTAGAGTATTAGTATGTATTAGAAACAAAAACTTAAATTAGGTATATTTAAGAGCATTTCTCTTGTTAGAATTTCGAGTATTATCCAAATTCGGGAAATAACCCGAAATATATAGTAATTTGATTAGTTATATAATTATATGATATCAATAATTTAGTAATCAACTTCAGGTTTTTGAATACTTATTTGGTTTTTAGTTCAAGTTCAAGTTTTTGGTTAAACAGTTCGGATCCAAAGCTGTATTTCAAGTCGATTCAGGGTTTTTTTGCCCAGGACGATAATTCACAGTATTGTGAATTTTCTTTACTACAGTAATGTGGTTTTTATTTAGTAGTAATAAATATGGGTTATGGCCAAGGCTTCAGATGGCCATTAGGTAACACATGCGCATTTTCTGGCTTTTCTTCTATTTTCATGTCTTGTAAGAAAACGTAACTTCTCTCGACTCGACTGGTTTTTTTTCAACATTACATGTGTTCATAATTTATTGGATTAGGGGAATAAAGTTATTATAATTAACTTTGTCAAGTTAGTTAACTGAACCCACTAGAGAGAGGTGTGGTTGAACAGTTTTTTTTTTCACTTTGGTTTCACGCAATGTCAATATATTATATGTGTCATGTGTGAATGCTCAAAATACGTTGTAAGATAGCAGCAAAAGAGTTTCTCCACCGTTGGATCAAGCCTTGCAATGAAATTGAACCGTCCGTGATATTTACTCAACAAACACATCATATGATCCCACACCAATACAATATTACGTGGTCTACTGTATATATATGAATAAACAATCATTAAAGTACAGGATGGAACCGTTTAACGAACTCAATACAAACCAAACCATTTCATGTGTGGCGTGTGTGTGTTAATTATATACATACATATATACAATTACACACACACACACGTACTTCATTATAGGAGCATTCTCATATCTGAGAATGGGTAACGTAATCGGTTCTCGGAAGTTGGATTCGGAGACGATGGCTGCCGGAAAAGTTGTGTTATCCGACGGAAGAGTACAAAACTTAGAGGAAGAGACGACGGTAGCTGAGATTATGCTGGAAAATCCTCAACACGTGGTCGTCGAATTTGATCCGTCGTCGATATCATTCAACGACGGACACCGGAAAAAGAAAGACGGCAAAACGGTGAAGAGAAAGCTGGCCCCTTTACCGGCGGACAAAACACTCGAGCCGGGGAAAATCTATCTGGTACTCCCGGCCAAAAGAAGCGGTGGCGGCGCCGCGAAATCATCATCGGCGGTGATGACGTCAGAGGAGATGCGTAAAATGCTATTTAGCGCCACGGCGATGGTAAGGTCGTCGTTTAGCTACTACGAAGGGATCCTTCCTTGGTTTACTACTAAGAGTTACAATAATAATAGTAATAACCCGGATGCGGTGGTTGCTGCTTCGTCGATTGGGAGGTTGGAGGCGGAGATGGAGGAGGAAGGGAGGCCGGAGTTTTTGAGCCGGCAACTGTCGGGAAGAGGGTGGAAGCCAAGCTTGGATCCCATCAAGGAGAAGAAAGCACACAAGAAAATCCATCGACGGTTGTTTTTTTAAGCTTTGAAATGCTAAATTTGTACGTGAATATGGTTTCGTCACGTGCGTGTGTGTATGTACGCCGGTCACGAGAAACTCACGTGGACCCCAAAACTCTCTCTTTTCTCCCGTCTGCTACTTCTATGCAAAAACCCAATAGGCCATTTGTTATTTCTCTGCGTCGAGAGTTCCACATTTCTCTGTCGACAAAACCTTTTCCCTCTTATGATACTTTTCAAATTTATCTTGTTTCTGCGATCAGAAAGAACCTTTTTGGCCGTTGGTGTAATGCTAACTAAAGAAGTCTGAAAATAAAATTGATATGTAGGAAAAATGTTGACGAAGATAGTATTTACAATGGAAATATATATAAATACGTTTCTGCATGTATAAAAATGTAGAATTCTCTCCCAGTGATTAGTCCGGACCCTGCATACATCTGGAATTCCCTAAGTCATTAAAAAAGGAAAAACATAAACATAAACATGTAGAATCTGTAACGTAGGTATATTTGAACAGGGCAAAGTATCAGTAAAAGAAAATTCCAAAGTATCAGTAAAAGGGGTAATTCTTGCATGTTAAAAAAGTCGAGAAAAAAAGAAAGGTCGAGCAAAAAAATCTTAATAATTTTGTAGTATCTTTCATCACATTTGCCTTAGAAAGGTCTTCAAATAATATTTTTATTTTATTTTTCCATTTAGTATTTTTCTTTTGGAATATTATCCTTAGTAGTAATTGACGACATTTTGTATCTATATATTATATTTCCAAGACTAATTTAAACTATACTTCACTGATTTTTTTAAAATTGTTTTTAGTTTTTGAATAACTAAAATCAATTTTCAGTTTTCTCAAAACAATCGATAAAATAAAAAATGAGTTATTAAATGCAAATTTTAATTTTATATAAAAATTCAGTATATTTATAAGAATTGTTAGTTTTCCAATATAAATATTATCTTGTTTTTGGTTCAACAGTTAAATGTAAAAAAGTTCTTAGAAAATTTCTATTAATTAGATACTCTCAAGAGTCTCTTATAAATATTTTAATAATATTTTGATATAATTTAATTTTATTATTTAATTTAAGTTAAAAAAAATCAACCAATTAAAAGGAAGTAAATGTAAAAAATAATATCTCAAAGTCTCTAAAAATATTTTAAATGAGATACTATTTTTCTTTTTTTATATATTTTTTATTATTATTATAATGTTAGATACTTGATTTTTCTTTTTTTTTTTTTTTTTTTTTTCTTTTGGAAAGCTCCACCTTCTTTCTTCTTCAACTAAACTGATCATTGTTCTTCAACTGATATGGCTACCATAACTTTGGGGCTCTGCTTCTTGTTTTTTGTTTATTTTATTTTTTTTTTGCCGAATTTTTTTGGATGTTTGAATTTGGATTTTAGTGATAATATCTCAAACCTAGATCTATAGATCAGTTCTTTGATTTTGGATCTACTATTGATTCCTTTCTTTTGCTTAGATCTAGCGTTTAGTTTTCTTATTGTTTTTGTTTTTCTTTGATTCTGATTTTTTTCAAAAGCTTTAAGTGTGGTCGTAGTTTGTGTTCTTTGGTTCTTCTGCTGCCCTTCGCTTTCTTATTTTCTAATATTTTGTGTTCAGCTTAACTTGCTATCTGGTTTCGCCCTTGTGATAGGTTTTCGCTATGAAAATATCTACTAGACTTGTTCTCTTTTCTCATTAGGTTTGAAATTGGTTTCTAGATGAAACAGTAATTTCCATCATCAGATTTTCTCTTGTCTTGAGAGGAGATGTGCAGTCTTTAGTCTGTAGGTTTTGGAGGCTGCATCGCGAGTGTCCTCATATAAGCCGGCCGTGGTCTCTATGCCATTTTTCCAGTTGATCTTTTTTGAACTTTTGTCGTGGCGAATGCTTTGGTTTTCAGGAGTATTAGAGTTTGTAATAGTGATGGGTATTACACAATCTTTCTACCATTGTTGTTACTTGTTTGAACTTGGAATAGCTTGCTCAGCTTTAGTGTTCTGGTATGTATAGAAAAATTGGTGGTTGATATTCATTTCATCAGTTTCAATTTTGTACTAATGGTTTATCTGCTAGTATCACTTTTTATTATTATATGGTTTCCCAGACTTTGGTTTCACATATTTATCTTTATTCGGCCGGCTTTAGTATTTCATGCACGTCGTCCTCCCTCTCGAAGAATTTTTCTTTTCTTTCTTTTGTATAGTCAGAAACATGACGTCACATAGGTTGATGATCTCGACATATATCGGTCATGTCTTCTTTTAGCATGAGATGTTGCAAAGCTAATGTTAAATAACAATAGTAGCTTTCTATGTTAGGTGATCAGTGATAACATACGTACACCAAAGAAATTCGTATATTTGCCGCCAAGAAATGAACTAATATTTATAAGTAAAATTAGTATATATGATATATCTGAAAGTGAACACTAATCTTTTTTTCTCCTTTTTCTAGCAATTTTATTTTATCATTTTTAAACACAATATTAAATTATTACACAAATTTTTTGAAATATAAATTTTGATATAAGAAAATCATGAACTCACAAGTAACAGATCACTAAATCTTTTATTTTTTTATGATCAGGTTCACTTTAATATGAATTATGTACGTGTGTGTAATTAACATCTATTGAATGATAAAAACCTAATGGCATTTCTGAATTTTTAATAATCTGGTACATTCAATAACATAATCATGATTATAAAAAACATTTGATTTTAATGTTCTTCTAATTCGATCCAATCTAAATTGAAATCAATTCTTATCTCCATAACAATTTTATGCTCTCCTGCCACCACTCCACTTTTCCAACTGAACATGTCACCGGCCAAATCCAGTTTTTCAGCTTTTGGGCAAGGTCTTCTTCATAGCCTAAGTTACATGACCAAATTTGCTAAATATATCGGATTGAAATTGGGTTTTGGGCAGATCTTACGGTCACGAGTTTAAGAATACTATCAATTTACTGATGTATCTTTAAATTCGATATTACGGTTTTAAAGTATTGCCAACTATGTGGTTTATCTCATAACTGATCCTTATGGAAAACATCTTTCAATACTCTAACTTTAACAGTATTTTGAACTATTAGTATTGTTTGCTCGTTTTTAATGACAAAAGAACTACGGATTGATATCAAAACGTTCATCATAGAAATCCTTTTCAATAAGTTTTTCAGTTTATATTTAAACTGTCCAACATATCCTGCTAATGCTTTATCTTTCATTTCTGTAAGCTTTTACTTTTCTTATAAACAATTATATAATTACTGCTACTGTGATCTGAATTTAAGTTTAATATAATCAAAATTTGGCAAAAAGGAAAAAAGAAATTATCTTACAAATTCTAATTTTTTTTCCAAAACATGAATTTCCACAACTCATATACAAAATTCCTAATTTTGATAGGTTTAAACGCATTTATTTCAAGATGAATAACATATAACCAGAAAACAAACTATTTATAAGTTATATTCTCTCCGTTTTTTTAAAGGATGATGTTTTGACATTTTCACACATATTAAGATATACTTTAATATTATTTTCTATTTTACCTTTTAACTACTTTTTAATTTTTAATAATATATTAACATCACTTCTCTCTTCTTTACTGGTACAAAGTTTTTTGTAAAACTAAATATATTATTTAAAATCTAAAATATCAATCTTTCAAAAATAAAAATAAAAATAAAAATATCATACTCTGTTTGAATATATGTTAGTTTGGAATGTGGATAAAAAAAATGCTCAGACAAATTGAATTGTCGGCACAGTACTCGTAGCCATTCCACGAGATCTAAAAATTGCAGTATAAAGAAGAATTTTGGTAGATGAATGCTAGAATTTCATTGATATGTAAAATTAAGGATCTAATAATGATAATTAAAATACATTATCATTAGAGTATATCTATCGGTAATACTATGTTAGAAAAGTAATATCTAAACTTTAAAAAATAATTAAAAAAAAAAACAAGAGAGAGAAGTGAGAACTGTCTCTTATTTTCTTAAATAAGAGATGTTTAGATACTTTTAGATATCTTCCCCCCCTACCCTATTTGATTATAATTGGTTTAATTAAACTTTTAAAAATTGTTAATTAAATTATATTTTTTATTATTAAGATATTTAAATTGAATATAGATTCTGAACGATGGAGATGCTCTATGCTACACATGTGGAAGAGGGTGAAATTTGGATAAGGAAATCTTTAGGCCTTTACAACAAAGTTTTGCCTCGTTGGATACCAACACGTATTGAGAATTGAAGAGCTTGCATTAACTATAAATAGCTTAAATAGCAAGTTATCATTAGATGCGATCTCATCGGATGGGTTATTATATACTCCTATTCACTACTTTACATTTTAATTAATTACACAGTAGAACCCTAATGGCCAAATTAACTGACAACTTTATTAACAACTTTATCGCATTTCTATAAATTTTAACACTCCAGTCAGTGTATGTAACTAACACTCCTTCGATTTCTTTTTAAAATAAGAAGAGGTAATCCTGTCTGAAGTTCGACAAAATTAAGAATTTGAGTTCAGATTTTTGTTTGATGTTCCTATATATATAATCGCACCCAATGATCACAATTTAAACCTCTTTTTTTCAGTTCTGAAAATTAAAATAGTGGATTTTTCAGATTGTTATTTTTTTCTTCTTCTGAAAAACGTTATTTAATGTACAATGGGATACTTACAAAAATGACCTAAAATTTGATTTGAATTGCAAATCTAACCTACAAAAATCACCTTCCCAACATTTGCTATTTTGTGTCCAAACAATCCCTCATAGTTTCAGTTATTCACGAAATTGTCATTGTTTTTAATTAATTTTATTTATTTTCGGAAATTCAATTGACCAACTAATCCTCATCTTTCTCATTTATTTACGAAAATGTCATCATCATCAATTCACCCAACCACCATTTTCAACCAATTTTGAAGCTTTAATGGTGACAAAAACCCATTTTTGAGTTTGTTGAGCTCATTATTTTCCCTTTA